TCGATCTGTGCGCTAAAAATACCTGGGAATGACTTTACATGGCCGTGGGGATACCAAGAGAAAGTCAACGAAGAGAATCTGTGGATGTTACTTAGGACCTAATGCAATGTTCAGCTTGAAATGTGCTTTATGAATTTGAGTTCCCTGAATCTGAATCCGTGTTTCTTCATATTCATCTAAAAAACTTGCAAAACTCTATAAACATTCCAAATGCCTTCTTATTGCAGTTCAACCACTAATATATTTAGAGGAGGTCAACAGTGACCCTTTCTGTTGCTTTGATGTAATCCAAAAAATAGCCAATTTCTACAGACACCTTCCTGTTGCAGTTTAACCTCCAACAATATTAAGCAAGCACGCAGAATTCACTGTTCTTTAGATGATTCTAGTTGTTTAACCGTTTGCCGAGGGAAGTAAAGCTCGAGACGAATCTTAAGAGATTTAAAAGAAGATGAATAATGTATACATACATGATTAGACAATATGGACATGATGGACATATGGAGGAGCAAGATTGAGAAAATGTACACACTTACATTATCATTATGACTAAGATTCGATCAAAATATCAAAAAGATAACTCGTCTTGTCAGCCTCCCATGCTCAAACTAAGGTTGGACCAGATAGGCTCAAAGGGACTATCACGAGAAAAAAAAATAACAAGTGATCATTAGTGACCCTCACACGCCCTTTGGTTGCTTTGAAGTCATCAAAAAAAAGGAAAATTACTTGCGATACCCCAAACGCCTACTTGTTGTAGTTGATGCACTCAAAATTTTTAGCGGATTAATAGCAACCGGTGTAAACTAACGATTTTAAATTGGCTCACTACTTGACTAGCCTATTGGCATAGAGGTAACTCTAAGACCAGAAGGTCCCGAAGAAATGTGCTCAACTTTTTGGCTCAGCTCTGCTACTATCTTCGGTCCTAAGCTAATCGATGCACCCCTCGAAACATAGAAAAATCCACGAACCCCTCATTTTATCTGTCAAACTTTTAAAGAGAATCAAAACAAACAAAGTGTAGTGCTAGAATTTCGACTAAAATGGGGACGTCAATGGATTTGCTTGGGACCAAAAGGCTAGTCAAGTAGTGAGCCAATTTAAAATCGTTAGCTTCCACCGGTACTTAGGACCTATCTTCCACCGAAGATAGTACTAGAACTAAGCCAAAAAAGTTGAGCACGTTTCTTCGAGACCTTCTGGTCTTAGAGTTACCTCTCAATATTGGTCATTTTCGGTTGACTTTATAAAAAGTTAAAGCTTTAAAAAAAAAAAAGTTTTTGTCTTGAAAATCCTTATTTTTTTAAATTAAATGAACATAACTTTAAGAAATTTAGCTCTTTTTTAGTTCTATTAAAGATCATCCATATGCCACTAATTTTACTAAAATTCGTCCACCAGGTAAATAGTTCACTGATAAAATTTCAAAGATTGTTTTTATGTGTCCCACACATGATTTTTTGCAATGTGATCAACAAATTTTATCTATGTGTCGGACACATACTTAATATATGTACACATAAAAGCCATGTGTAACCACACATACTATTCATTTGACTCATAAATTTCATGTGTGCTTCTGGGTGGATTCTGTTTATGTGTGGTCACATGAAAATCATGTGGAATTTCACATAGAAATTCGTCAATAAAAATGTGTGGAATTTTATAAGTGTTGAAAATCGGGGTTTTATCACAGACCAACAGACATAACACATTGAATGTTCCACACTGTAAAACATCGTCACTAAAACATTACCGCCATCTGTTGAGTACACTGTGGTGGGCACTGCGCTGAACAGATGGTGGTAGCATAGAGGACTAGACTAAGACTAGAAGGTCCCGAAATAACCTGCCCCTCATTTTATCTGTCAAACTTTCATAGCGAATCAAAACAAACACTGCGCAGTACTAGAATTTCGACTAGAATGGGGTACGTTAATCGTTTGCTTGGGACCAATAGGCTAGTCAAGTAGTGAGCCAATTTAAATCGTTAGTTTCGTATTGATTGTTGGTGGTAGTGTGTAAACGTCAAACGCAGGGAATTGACTATGCGCGACACAGGTGGCGGTACTACCAACTACGATACTTTTATATTGTCCGTTAAATACTTGTTCGATGAACTACTTGCGAGAGTTATATCTGTTTGTCTGTGGTTTTACTAAAATAAATCTAACTTCATACCATCTCTTCCAATAAAGTCCAACACTATAGCGATAAATCAATAAACACCTGTTCATCCACCAGCCGAGATTTAAAAAATATATCTATTCACCATATTTCAAAAAAATGTCCACTAGGGTGTATGCTCAATTTTGCGATTCGCTGTACGTTATATATTGACTCCACTTATTGCGCTTTTTTGCGTTATAAAAGGGTTATATTTAGGAAAATGGATCATCATTTAAAATACCGAATTTGTTATAAATGAGAATAACAACTCGTTTATGACCAATTCTGTTGCTTGTGAAAGCCCAAGCAACCATGATTTTTGTTCATGTTTTGATTACTGTAAATTGTATGGTATCGAAACTTCGAAATTTTTCTATGCTGAACAATATAAACAAAAACAACAATTTGTAACCAATTTTAAGTGCGATATCTAAATTCAATTTACTAAATTATACAATTTTTGAATTTCTCCCTGAACAAGGCATGAGCCCTGACATCATCAGAGAGTAGGCTCTCGCCTTTGGTAAATGCCAACAATTCATAGTCTGGCGGATATAATTTCGATCTATCAAAAATCGGAACAAATTCAATATATTGTAGACCAACAATTAATTATATGATTTGAGTAGTAGCTATACTGAAGATCCGAGAGATGTCGCCCCTTCAGTGGTAGGAAAATCATTTTTGCAGTATGGAGAATATCAGAAAATCCACGATTTGTGACTAAACATGCTTTCACAGAAGGAAACAAATAAACGAGTGTTTACCTTATCACCATAGTAATGTAGTCGTGCAATTTTTGTGCACCTAAAACTGCCCATAAAGACGATAATGAATAAAAACTGAAAATGTTCATGCATTTCAAAATGGTTTCCTACCATTCCCATACATTCGAAGTGACTGGCCCTCTGGATGTGGATGATGTCAAAAACAACAAAACATGATTAATTGAAAAGGTACTATCAACTTTTATTGATGAATCTACGCGAAACTGCACCAGTGCATGTGACACCTAGGTTTGAAATCCAAAACCACAAAAGTGATGATGTAGTAAAAAATATTCCATACGATTTGACAGCTAGCAAAATGTCATTATCATTTTCACATCATTTCCATCTGCTGGCCGACCGTAACGTACACAGCAAAAAAAAATGTAATATCGATCAACGTAATTCAAGCTGATGTATGAAATAATGATGTAATAGCAAAACGCAGATACAATATTACATCAATGGATGTAATTTTGTTCGCAAAATTGATGTACATTGTACAATGTGATATTACACAACCGATGGATTGACCTGGTTGCAGCAGTTTCGATGTAATATTTAACAACTTTTTTTGCTGTGTAGATTCATCAATAAAGAAAACGTTGATTATTCTTTCCTCGCCAATCGATGGTAAATTACCAGCATCATCGGATAGGGGAAACTTTCCACAACCTAAAGATGGTGTTAGTTTGTGTAGGCGAGCCTTGAGTCACGAGAAAACGGTTTCCGAAATTAAAAATTAATACTCTTTTTCTAATAAATAAGCATCTGATACTAATCCCAGTTAAATCAGGGTTGATTAGATTAAAGATTATCTTTTTTGAATAAATTTTAATCATTTTTGATTCTATTTTAATCAGCCCAGTGGCAGGCCCGTAGGCAACATTTTATACCGTGACAGCGGGCCCAGCACATATTTTGCTGCCCGGGACATGCTGCCTACTGTCAAACGCACCCAAAGCATAGAGGAAAGCCCAAAGCAACAATCAGTACGAAACTAACGATTTTAAATTGGCTCACTACTTGACTAGCCTATTGGTCCCAAGCAAATCGATTAACGTATCCCATTCTAGGATAAATTCCAGTACTACACTATGTTTGTTTTGATTCGCTATGAAAGTTTGACAGATAAAATGAGGGATTCGTGAATTTTCCTATGTTTCGATGGGTGGATCGATTAGCTTGGGACCGAAGATAGTATCAGAGCTGAGCCAACAAGTTGAGCTCGTTTCTTCGGGACCTTATGGTCTTAGAGCTACCTCTATGCCCAAAGTGTGTTCCAGGTGACCATTAACGGTATCCCGGATGGACCATCAACTGTATCCCGGATGGGTAAACTATCCCACAAATGGTTTGGATGATACCCCGAACACATCGTTAAGATCTCTTCTATGGTTATTTTTATTAGGGCTCAAACAACGAAAATTAGTGTGATGATATCAAATTTGTTCGAGAAAAATCACTTTTTTATATTGTTAAGATGATTAACAACCCCCCTTTTTTACTCTAAATTTCTCAAATACCATGATTTTCATTGTTGTGAACCATGAATTTCGTTGTGATTTTATGGTAATGGACAAAAATTTCCAATATTTTGACAGTAAATATCATGGTTACAATGACAATGAAAATCATTGTATTTTTATTGGATTTTTTTACGGGTAGTGCCAATTCAAAATCGTTAGTTTCCACCGGTTGGTATAGGTCTTGTCACTGACCAGATTTTAATAATTTTGGATTGAATTTTAATCTTTGTTGATTAAATATCAGTATTGAAAAGGAATAAAATTTAATACTGGAAAGATTATTTCGAATTTAATCATGCATGACTACTGCCGAAGTAATCATGGCTCGGACTCAATAAGGTGAAGCGGGAATCTGCATCTTTTTAAGCTTTTTTGATTTAATTATCTTTGAGTGTAGCGACTATACTTCCAATGAGTTTTTAGGTAAATTTCAACCTATTCAAGGGTGGAGTCCTGGAAGCGTGATACACTTATAACCTCCGATATATTTGACACATCGTCTGCTATCAAAAACCTTTCTCAACCTTCTAAACTGCTTGTAGCCTATTTTGTTTTCAAGCGCCAAACGACGCACATTTGCATTTTTGCTAAAATTGAAGTTCAAAACACGAGTAAATTTGATGTTTGAAAGTTTTGTTTTGTGCAATCCCTCTATGTACATATGAGGAAGTATGAAAAACATTTCTATTGGTGAGTTATCTCAGTTTTTTTTAAAGTGTTTCTCTACGTTCACGATTTGTTTATTTTTTTAGGATACAGATGCGATGACGAAACAAATCGTAACTAGTTCAGAAAGCGGAGCTTGTGGTTCGTGTGAATAACATTTCTGAACACATTAATCTGTATAACACGATAAATCTCTATTCCAGCATCTGCGAACAGTGAGCTTGGAGTAGAATCTTTTGAACGGCTCTTAAAAGGCTTTCAGTCACAGTTAGCTGGATTTAGAACCGAAGACACTGGTGAGTTATTTTTTTGTAACGTTTTCAGTTGAATCATTCACATCTTGTTTTCGTTAATTTCAGTACTTATTGGGAATTGTCCTCAGAACGTGACCGACGAAGAAATAAACAAATTCTTTTGTGGCTTTGCTACCATCGTGAAGCTGCAAAGAGTTGTGTTTAAATCGTTAACAACCAATGTTTTCATCGCCAAATTCGATTCGACTGAATCAGCTTCCCGCTCGAAGGTGTTGAACACCCTTGCATTAAACGGGAAAAAAATTCTGCTTCTTCAGCCCGATGAAAAACATTTTTTCAATAAAAAGAATGTTGTGGAGCTTAATGGCTTGCAAGGTGAGTAAACTAACTGTATTGTTTGAAACATTTTATTCGTGATTTTTTTAATTTAGGTATTAGATAGGTTTAAATCCGCATGGTAGTATGCTTTAAGCAGGATTATTTTTTTATTACCAGCCCTTTATTAATGATTTTCTCTCTAGTGTTCAGCTGGTTCGGACGTTATCGTCCCTATGTCAAAAATGTTGGATAACATATATGTTATCCAACATTTTTGACAGATTCTTGTTAAAAGGCTGCAAACAAAATGCAGTCCTTGAAACATTCCACCTTTAGAAAATAGAGAAAATATCGATCAGTCACAAATTGTTTACCAGCACATAATTTGTTATTTATCAGTTTTTGTCGTTGATTCCAAAACCACTGACCGGTGCGAAGAGAAGCTTTTAAGCATTGTTGCCAGACACTGGAATTATGAAATTGTTGCAACAAATTTGAATTTTCCCAAATTAAGAAAAAAATCAACCTTCCCAGTCCGTAAACCAAAAATACAATGATTTTCATTGTCATTGTAGCTATGATATTAACTGTCAAAAACATTGAACATTTTTGTCGAATCACAACGAAATTCATCGTTCACAACAATGAAAACCATGCAATTTATTTGCAGTAACAAGGCATCTTAACAATAAAAACTGATTTTTCTCAAACAAATTCGATCTCAAAAATACGATACAAAAATTTAACAATAAAATTTTAATGTAGGTACTCGAAATTCAATAGAGTAAAAAATCATTATCTCGTTGTTTTTTCTGGTTATTTTTCTTCGGGAGTTCAGATACATTTCCATTAAAAAAATGACGATGAATGTTTCTCAACTTTTTTTTCACATAGTTTCATTGTGTTTCTTTACTTGATTATTCCATGTCAAGTGACCAAACCAGCTTCGTTTGACCCTCTCTGATTTGACCTAAATTAGTGGAATTTCTTGTTTTCAGCCAACATTCAAACATCCAACCACAGACAAACAGACGTAACTCTTTGAAAAAGTTTTTCTTGAAAACATAGTATCTCAAAACATATGACCTCAGTAACGACATCTCTCGGGCTTCTCGTGGAAAACAAGCTTGCTCGCTAGCTCGCAAACAATATTGCATAAAAGTTCTATAGAATGTATAGAAACGTCAAAGTGATCCGATGCCAGCGCTGCGGCGAGTAGTTCGCGGAACTGATAATATTCAAATCAACCGTTAAATGCATGAACGAAGATACACAATGAAGAGTTACGTCTGTTTGTCTGTGATCCAACGTTTAGTGCCGATTGGCCTACCGGCGGTGACCAGCCCTCTGTTTTGACGATTTTTAAGAAACATAAACTTTCTTCTTGATATTTATCTGCGGAAATTTATAAATTTTATATTGCGACTGCATGAAATGAATAAATTAAGCATTTTGGAGGTTGTATTTTATTAAACCGCCTTATGAATGATTAATGACCACGAGGTACCATGAGCGATTCTTAAACGCCTTTAATTAGCCTGTTCGATTTCCCAAGCGTTTGCAGCATACGACCAAGGTCCCACTGGGGTTGGTCTCCTTTTTCTTTCGTACCCCACAGCAAAAAAAAAATGTAATTTCGATCAACGTAATTCAAGCTGATGTATGAAATAATGATGTAACAGCAAAAAGCAGATAAAATGTTACATCAATGGATGTAATTTTGTTCGCAAAATCGGTATACATCGAACAACGTAATTTTTCACAACCAGCGGAATGACCTCTGACGAAGTCACAATGGTGCGCAATGTCCAGCCATCTACCAATTTTTTAATCTTAAAAAAGAAATCTCAAGGCAAAAATAATCCAACTCACATTTTAAATGGCTAAGTTTAGGGAAATTCAATGTTTCTTAGTCAAAAATATCTCGTTTGATAAATTTTCGAAATCCAGGAGGCGCTGTTCCGCTGGTAGGAAGTGATAAAAATCCCCATAGAGAAATTGAGAAAAGTGGGAATAATTCGCTGTCGGTGCATATTCAGGTAAAAAAAAGTGAACGTCAACCTAAAGAAATTAGTCAGGGACTTTGTCGTTCAGTTTTTTTCTCCCGGAAATTATTGTTAAACAAGCTACAATTAAATAGAAAGGATTTTCCCCATAGAGCATTTCTAGCTCAAATCGTTAAAAAAAATGTCAATTTTGTCTCGACCCCTTCTGATTTGAATTAAACATTGCTCACGTGTTCGCTGCTACTAATGGTTGCATTTTTCATTTAAATATGATTTTTTCCTCCAGAGTAACTTTTGAAAAGGGCGTATAAAAAAATTGATTATTTTTTTTTCAAAAAATCATAACTTGAAAACTATTGATCTGATCAAAACGGCATATGAGAAGAAGTTTTAGGTAGTTAAATTATCTTTGCTGAAAAAAATACACTGAAAGAAAAAACTTCGTAAATTAGTGTTTAAAAAACTTAAACGATCATTATCTCAAAACACCCCCCCTTCGATCTTTATAATTTTTTTTTTTCAAGAAAATTGATGAAATACCCTTAAATTTCGTGAAAAGTGTATGCTGGTAACTTCCTTAAAAATAAATCTATAATTTTTTAAATTTTTGTTGATTTTTACAAGTTGATGAAAATGCATATTTTTTTGAAAAATAACAATTTATTTGGATTCTACGTATAATTTTCGATAACTTTGCGTATATAAACTTTTTTCCTAAGTCCAGCCGTTCTCAAGTTAATGCAAATTTAAAAAATATAATTATAACAATTTTCAACATTTTAGGCCATTTTCAAATGTTCGTCGAGATGTCCAGCAACGGGATTTTATTTCATGATTGTATATTAAAAAACAAACAATTCATTCTCAGATATGGTAGCTGTCAGACTTACCCGTTTCTATCTAGAGGCAGCGGAAGAGAAGCACGTTGATGTGGTCAAATGAAAGATTTGTTGAAATAAAAAACAGTATATATTTATTATTTTATTTTACAACTCATATTATTTGAATACATTGAATAATTTGGGTGTATCGTTTGAATTAGATAATATTTTTACTGCAATTTGGTTGTTTGAAACTGGAATATAGCAATGATATTTTCGAGTTCCAGGAATTGGTTTCACTTTCTTAAAGATTGGATCAAATTCCGTGTCAGCCTTTTTGTATTCTTCCGTAGAAACATAACAAAATGACATTTTTGTTTGAAGATCTTCTTTACGACTATTTGCCCAGTCGTACAGTTGTTTAGGGTTCGTTATAGGGTGCTCGTGTTGCTTAGCTAAACTTGCTCTGGTTGCCATTCTCTTAAGGGTACCGCCAATCGCATCACAATGACCTTTGCCGTGTGAAGTTGCAAAAAAATGCAATTCAATTTCTACATTATGCTTATCTTTAAATCCACAAATGCTAGCAAAATTTTTTATGTTTTTGTATTGTAATGCTGCTCCATCTGACATAAAAATACACTTTTGGACTGTTATTTGCAACTTTAAAAATTCTAATAATTTTGAGATAAGCAACTGAACTGCTACTGTGCCATGCTTTGAAATTGATTTAGGTAGAGGTTTACAACACTTGAAATTGTTATCCATCGTAAAAAACTACTTGCTTTTTAACTTGAAACGCTAAGAGAGATGAACTGAATGGAACAGGGGAAGATCGTCCCAATATATATATATATATATATATATATATATATATATATATATAGGCACAATATGGTATACGTCAGAGAAGTACCTAGAGAATTTATCTCAATTACAGGTTTAATTACATATTTGTTTACCTGTTTATGTTTTGAGCCTCTGTTATGACATACACAATTCTATCCAGGTATACAACTAATAGAGGACAGAAAAAAGGCACATGAGTGGGTTTGTTGATTATTTGGGTATATTTGAGAGTATTTACTTATAAACTTGTTTCTTTTCCGCAGCGTCTAAATAGAAACGGGTAAGTCTGACAGCTACCATATTTGAGAATGAATTGTCTGTTTTTTAATATATATTCATGGAAAAACATCTCGTTGCTGGACATCACGACTAACATTTGAAAATGGCCCAAAATGTAGAAAATTATTATAATTATTTTTTTTAAATTGCATTAACTTGAGAACGGCTGGACTTAGGAAAAAAGTTTTTATATGCAATGTTTTTGAAAATTATGCGTAAAATCCAAATAAATTACTATTTTACTAAAAAATATGCAATTTTACCAACTTGTAAAAATCAACAAAAATTTCAAAAATTATTAAAAAAAAATTAAGAAAGTTACCAGCATACACTCTTCACCAAATATTAGGGCTTTTTTTCAGTTTTCTTGAAAAAAAAAATTATAAACATCGAAGGGGGGGTGTTTTGAGATAATCATCGTTTTACATTTTTTAAATACTAATTTACTAAGTTTTTCTTTCAGTGTATTTTTTTCAGCAAAGATAATTTAACTACCTGAAACTTTTTCTCATATGCCATTTTGATCAGATCAATAGTTTTCAAGTTATGATTTTTTGAAAAAAAAATAATCAATTTTTTTATACGCCCTTTTCAAAAGTTACTCTGGAGGAAAAAATCATATTTAAATGAAAAATGCAACCATTAGTAGCAGCGAACACGTGAGAAATGTTTCATTCAAATCGGAAACACTCATGACCAACCGGTTTGCGTTTTGGGCTGGAAATGCTCCATACAGTTTTACCTGATTTACTACCAGTCCCCAGAGAGCCAAAAATTCAAATTTGGGAGAGAAAATTTGCTCTCACGACCTCAATCTCTTAACATGCCATGTATTTTTATGACACTCGATTTGTGATTTCCCTTTCACAGATTACAAAATAGAGTACTTGACACTACAAAACATGTCTGGTACCCTAGCTGGTACCTCTATATATGCATTTAGATTAACATTCGAAGTCCCTCCTTTTTTACATATTCTGCACAAATGATACTTTCTGCTCCACCCCATTCATAAAATTCGGAAGGAAATCCTGTGAGGGGTGAGCTATTTGGAGTGCAGAATATGTAAAGAAGGAGGGACTTCGTATGTTAATCTAAATGC